AATCAATAAAAAAAGAGTTAGAAAAAATCAACTGAGAAAACTTCCTTGATAACTTAACCGCCAAAGAAAGCTATGATAAATTACTTAACTTATACTATGATCTAAGTAAAAAATTTAACAACTAAAGGGTGACTAATAAATAAAAAAAATTATCTCAACTTAAAACAACGCTGTGGAAACAAAATGTAGCCTCAAAATGGAAAAAAACTTAACTTGTATAAGAATATGGCAATGCAAGTAGAGATATAAGAAAAGCATCAAAAAAAGCAAAAAAAAATTACGAGTTTTATTTAGAAAAAGACAAAAAAAAATCCCAAAAAACTCTTTTTATATATAATCAGCAAATTAAAAATATCTACTTCAATACAAGCCCTCAAACCTGACAGCGGTGAACTAAAAAACAGTAAAAAGGACATAGCTGTTATATTAAATCACCAATTCGAGTCCGTCTTTAGTAAAATATACGACGTACAAATTAACACACTTGACCATAGAACAAATAAGAGGAGAAACAAAATCACCGAGAAAGTTTATTATTTAAAATTGATAGAAACAAATCACAAGGAGCAGATAACGTTCACCCATTCATTCTAAATGCACTCGCCACCGAATTCGCCAAGCCACCATTGGTCATATTTAATTTATCATTGCATTCAGAAGAAATACCAACAGCATGGCTAGACGCAAATGCAAGGCCAACATTTAAAAACAGAAGCCCAACAGATTCCGGAAACTATAGACCAATCAGCTTGACTTTGGTCCCATGCAAAATTATGAAATGTTTGAAATGAAACGTCTGCAAAATGTTTGCAGACGACACCAAATTAATTGCACAAATTCGTCCAGGAAACGAAGAGCTTGATACTAAAAGCCAACAAGATGACATAAACAAGATAAGTGATTGGTGCTGCACTTTTTTTTTTTTAATTTTAATTCACCTCCTCAAGGCTGAGAAGGCCACTACAGACGAGGAGGCTACTTATTTGTGGCTATAACCCTCTCTCAACTCTATAACTCTGAAACACAAACCTTGACGAACAAGGCCGCTGCTCAGAGAAACGAGTTGAAACTTGGAAATGCAACTAAATCTTAGTAAATCGAAAGTGATGCACATTGGACAAGCAAACAAATCAGCGACATACACTATGCTAGATCCACTAACAACAACGATGATAGAGATAGACCGTGGAGTCACAATAAGTCAAGATCTTAAGTCAGAAAAATAAAGCCACATCCATTGCAAATGAATTTTTTTGACTGTTAAAAGATATGTTTATATTGCGAGATCTAGCACAATGGAAAAAACTCCATACAACATATGTTAGACATATGGATTATGCAGTATGCACTTGGTCACCATCAACAAAAAAGGCCCAAAAAACACTTTAAAAAGTTTAGTGACGAGCCACCCAGATTGGACACACAATGAGGCAACATAGCTATGAAGAAAAGCTAATCAAACTCAACCTAACTCAAGTCTAACTTTGCGTTGACAAAAAAGCGACCTCATTCAACAATTTAAAATATTAAAAGGAATCGAGCCGTATATATATAAATATATAAATATATATATATATATCGGGTGGACACGGAAAAATCCGATCAACTTTAAATTGAGATTCCTCTAAAACAATAAATGCTTTTTATTTCAATTTTTTTATTATTAAATGTGTTTACATAAATTAGAGTTTTAACTTAATTTTAAGGGCCTTGATAGGTTGTTTGGCAAGAAATCGATTTTTATAGTGGGTTAAAATTTTTTAGTGGCCATCATTTCACAGATTTTTACTTTTTTCACCATATTGGTGGCATTAATCCACCTTTTTTGAAAGTCCTTTTTATTATTTGTTATTCCACCTGTCTTACAAAGAACTCCTTTAATTATTGCCCGAAATTCTTTATTCTTGCCCTCTTCAGGACAATTTGTGTTTTTTTTATAAAAGGCAAAAGTCTTTTTTGGAGGCTTTCTTTGATGTAGAGATTGGCAGTCAAGGTCTTTTTAGTGACAAAACAAGAGAACTGCATACCACAGCTACAAATTGCTTGCCACACAAGGAACTTGGATGGAAATTTTTCTCGTCGAATATATTTAAATTGATCATCGACAGGTTTATCTTTGTTTTCATAGTAAAACTGTTGACCAGAAAGTTGTGAAAAATCCTTTACTTTTTGTACTTTTTTGATATAAGAACCAGAAGTCTTAAATTTTCTTGCAAGATCTCGCTGTGACTGGTTTGGATTTCTTGCTATTGAACGTAAAATCGACTTTACCTTTTTGAATTTATGGAAAGTTTTTTTTCTTCCACTTCCAAGTTTTCTTTCGAAGCTTCGAGTAGTATTGAACATGTTTATAATATCTATGACTGTAGATTTTGGGACATTTGCGCATTTAGCAATCAAGCGATAGGAAGTCGATGGATTTTTGCAAAAAAAATTCACAACTTTTTTACCCACCTAAATTTGTTTCCAAAACATTTTGCAAATCATTAATTTGTAAACAAAAATTTATCAACACTATTGAAGATAAGGAAGTAAGGTTTAATGAAAAAAAAATTAAATAAAAACCACTTGTGGTTACGGAGAAATCTCTATTTAAAATTGACCGGATTCTTCCATGTCCACCCAATATATATATATATATATATATATATATATATATATATATATATATATATATATATATATATATATATATATATATATATATATATATATATATATATATACATATATATATATATATATATATATATATATATATATATATATATATATATATATATATATATATATATATATATATATATATATATATATTCTAAAACTTATCTTTTAAGATAAGTTTTAGAGTATATATTTACTCTAAAACTCATCTTTTAAGACGTTTAATCAAAGTTATGCAAAACGCTTTTACTTTTATTGATTGATGATAATGATATATAAAATAAATTTTATGGATTTATTGAAAAGTGAATTCAAATTATTAAAAAGAAAGAAATATAATATTTTAAAGTTGTATAAACATTTTTTTGCAAAAAAATACTGTTTAAAAAAACTAATGCAGTCTTTTCAAAATCGTTTCATACTTTAATTAGTAAGTTAAGTTAAAAAAAACTTTCACACAATTCATTGTAAAAAAAAAAAAAAAAAAAAAAAAAAAAAAAATTATGGGAAGATTCAATTTAACTTTTAACATAATTTTTAAAACGTTTAAACTTTTCATAAAAAAAACATACCTACTAGAAAAAAAATTAAGTATAACACTTAACTTCGACATAATGCGTATATTTTAAACGATCATTAAAGTAAATTTTAATTTTATTTAAAGCCTTCATGTACAATAAAAACTTAACTTAAAAAAAAAGATCAATGGTTAAGAGTTATTCGTTACGTAACGATTTTTTAAATTGCATTTAAATTGTTAAAACATAAAAACAGTCGCTATCAAATTGTAAAAAAAAAAAAGAAAAAAAAACCATCGTCAGTTACAGCGAGGAAATTTAAATTTATCAAAAAAACATACAATATTAAATTGAAACTATTTTATTAAAGTAACAAAAATGATGCAATGAAATATTCTTAAAAATGAGGAAAAAACTGCAATTTCACAAGACTAATGTTAATTAAACTGAATAACATGACAAAGATTTCTATAGCACAACTTGGTTTCATAAAACCGAAAATATTATTTTAAAAATTTAAACGGACACTATCCAACCCAAACAAGTTTTGATCAGACATTTTGTCCAGGACTTTAAAAAAAATTAAATTAAGCCCTGTATATATATATATATATATATATATATATATATATATATATATATATATATATATATATATATATATATATATATATATATATATATATATATATATATATATATATATATATATATATATATACAGTGCTCGAAGTGAGGCGGGATGCCATCCCATCACCTTATTATAAAATATAAACTATCCCACCACTTTTTTATAAATCAGTAAATATAACAATGATTAGGCGGGATAGTATTTTTAATTTACCGTTACCATCCCGTTACCATTTTTTCTCCACTTCGAGGACTGTGTATAAATATATATATATATATATATATATATATATATATATATATATATATATATATATATATATACATATATATATATACATATATATATATATATATATATATATATATATATATATATATATATATATATATATATACATATATATATATATATATATATATATATATATATATATATATATATATATATATATATATATATATATATATATATATATATATATATAAATCAAATTGTCTAACATTGGTAACAGCTCTATAAATATTTTTTAAAAAATTTAAATTAATAATAAAATTGATCACTTATTTAAAATGATTACAAGATTAGCACTGCATCATTCTTATTTGTATCTAGCATGTGCAGATAATATTAAAAAGCACAAATGATATTTAGGAGTTTATTCTTTCAGTTGAAAATTTATTAGTTCTGTATCACAGTCATCATTAGTTCTGTATCACAGTCAACTTTATGTACTAATATATTTATATCTTAGTATTGAGGGCAGACGTTATGCCTACCATTCATATTTTCTTCGAATTTTAAACAGTAGTACCTATCAGTAAAGCATATAAAAGCACAAAGTTTAACGTTTCATAAGTAACAATAGAAGTCATTTATCAACCACTGTATAATAAACAGTCCTAAAGGCAGTAATAATTAAATTAAGGAAAAATTTAAGGCAGCTTTAAACATAAATAAAAAAGTTTGTGAAGAACTCATTTCAAACAATAAAACATTTAAGATAATATTTTTGAAAATTAAAGTTTAAATTAAAGCCAATTTATATTTATTTATAATTAATCATAGTAAAATTACCCCATACCAAAACAATATGTATAGTTAAAAAATTTTATGTATAATTTTATGTATAGTTAAAAAATTTTTAATGATTATATATGAAAAGCGCCTAACAATATTAGACTTACTAAATTTTAAGTCTTTTTACTAACAGAGGTCAAGAATCGTTAGACACTTCATTAACTTTTTATTATTATTGAACAATCAATTCTTGCTTAAAATTTCATTTTAAAGACTTTCTTGATACTTTTGACATTTGAACTGACTTAATTGGAAGCGTTAAATCCGTAATAATGTGCAACATGGGCAACCGATGCTGTTATTTAAGTTTAACGAAGTCCGTGTTTTCTTATCACACTAAAAAAAAGGTATAAATTTCTACCTTTAGAGCATATGACATAACGTACACCTTTAAAGTAGAAACTTAAACCTTATGATTAAAAACTACATTAAACAGGCCATATGTAATGTAATTTGCTACCTAAAGAGTGTAATGTTCCTTAAAAAGAAAATAAAACAAAAATTTAAAAAGTTTTGAACAAATAATTCAAAATAATATTATTTTTATTTATATTAAGTTTAAAAATCTTTATTTAATCTAAGTTGAAAAATCTTTATTTGAATTAAGTTTAAAAACATTGAAAAAATATTTAACTCTTTTCAGATATAACGTTTATAAGCTTTAGATACAATGTATGTTCATATAAGCTTTAGATACAATATTTATGAGCCTTAGATACGACGTGTGTACATGCATTTGCTACTCAAAATGGCGTGTACATACCGTGGCTAATAGAAGACAATACTTGCCCTATGATTATGCCCCGACGTGCTTTTATCAGCAAGCGTGTGCAGCCATTAAAAGGTAAACATAAATTCAACAAACATTTGGTAAATGGTACAATTACTTTGTACCATTTAAAAATTATATACAACTATTTGCAAATATGTTAAGTTAAGTTATTATTCTATAATCAAAGGAAAATAGTAAACATAAAATAAAAAATAATCAAACCTAAAACCTAGATATAAATTAATATCATAATTTAAAGTAATATTAGAGACAAGTTAATAAGGTAGTTGTTAAAAATAAAAATAAAAGATTTACTTCATTAACATCGTTAATAAGTTTTTGTTTGAGTTTTTGTTTCAATAGAAAAAAAGAAGAACAGTTTTTTAGCTCTTTATTTAATAAAGTGTTCCATAAATTAGGACCTCTGATGGCAAAAGAAAATTTAGAAGCTAAATAGAAATATAAAATTTTTAAGCAGTTTTGGTGTAATAAATGCTTGACTTTGAATAGTATGCCAATTTTTTTTGACATTTTACTACTAATAATAAATTAATAAAAATCTGAACTATTAAGTATATGTCGCTGGATAGCTCAGTTGGTTAGAGCGTCAAACAAAAAGTTGAAGCCCGGGCTTTTGTAATACGAGTAATACGAGTACTTCGGTACGCAAAAACGTTGGTCAATACCGGACGCTTTTTTGGATTAGTTTTAATGACTATTTGTGGCTGTTCCTATGCTAAGCCAACAATATCTTTGGATATAAGAACATTTTATAGAAAAATATAACATGAAAATTCAAATAAATAAAATAAATAAATATGTAGAAACAACGTTATAAAATTTGTAGATCGTCGCATACCAGTTCGAAATCGTCTGTATCCGAGCAGCACAACTTAGTAAGCCCAACGTTAGCCCAACGTATTTGTGATTGTTGGCCCACCGTAGCGCTTTGGTTGGCCGTAGATTGGCGTTGTGTCGGCATATGATCGGCTTCCCATCGTCCCTACGTTGGTGTCGTGTATACTCAGCGTTGTTGGCGAAACGTTGGCCTACTCTTAGTTTTAAATTGTTGGCGCAACGTAGGCCCGAACAAATTGCTACAGTTGGCGATACATAGACATAATCTATTTTACATTAATTGATCTTACATTGGTGCATCATTGTTATAGGGTTGTAGGGGCGATGTTGGCCTAACAAAATGTTTAGGTTGATGTTATGATGTGCCTATTGAGATTATGTTGGCATTGTCAACTCAATCTCATTATACTCAACGTTTTTGGCAATACGTCGGCCCATTCTTACTGTTATGTTGTAGGCTCAAAAATAGCCAAACTAAGCGCTACCAAGCTAAAACACTTTTTTAGAAACATGTTGGTCCAAAATCAAAACAACGCTTCAAACGATGTTTCAACGTTTGGCCGACGTTTTTCTAACGAAGTCGGCTAGTTGGGTACAGTTAGCGACGCGTATAAATGATAATTTACTTAGTTAAAAGTTACTTATTATTGGAATTATAATATATAAACATTTTATAACGCTGCTTCTCTTCTCTTCCTACCTCCATCACGATCTTTTGCAAAGCAAAGTCATTCTTTGTTTGCACTTGAACATCGGCATGAGTACCACGGCATGTTGACGGATTACGTCCAACGGCATCAAAATAAAATTAAATATTGTTAAGGTGACAATAAACTAATGTTTGATCAAACCCTGTTTGATCTCTTCTAATAATATCAATTGCCGACGATCATTCACTAAATGTAAAGAAAAATAGAATATTTTTTAACAAAATACTTAAAATAATACTTTAATAAAAATAATAGAAATAAAAGATTTCCTATATCTCTTAAGTCATATTAAGTTAAACAAACATCAATTGTTAATGCATAAATAAATTAAACGCACCTTCAAAATGGTGATTAACAGGTGGATAGTTAGTTTACTTGCAATGCTCTAGCAGGCATTGGTGTTAGTATAGATGATGACAATGCAGTTTGGTTTACACAACGTATTTATATATGTAATATACTTTGATTCAGTAAATTTTTACAATCACACATTTACTTAAACACAAACAGTTTTCAAACACATAAACTTTTGAATGATTATTTAAATACAAATGATAATGAAGGAGAGCAGATAGTAGGTTTAATAGATTGAGACCCATTTTGAATTTCTATGCACATATTATAGAGTTTTTAAATATAGTAAAGATATATATATATATATATATATATATATATATATATATATATATATATATATATATATATATATATATATATATATATATATATATATATATATATATATATATATATATTAATAAGAAAACATCAAATAATACGAATTCTCTTAATACAAATGATAATTTATTATTAGAAATTTTCGCTGGATTATGGTTACCAGCATCATCAGCTCGTAAAAATTAATACAAAATTTTTTAACGTTAAAAACAGTTTAAAATTAACTGACATCAGCATATGAATGGCTTCTTTCTTGCTTACGTAAAAATGTAAAAAAACGGAATCCAAAATTTAGTTTTAACAAATTGCCCGTTATCTAGATTAATGCCACCATTTAAAGGAGAACATTGATACCTCTGTATTTCAAGAGCTTTGCGCACTTTTCGATCAAACTTTTTTGTTTCCACTTTAATTGTTTTAACATCCTTCCACTTTATTTCTTGTGAGCAAAACTTATTATGGGTGGCTATTGCCGACTGATAATGTTTCCCCTCGTTTAAAATTTTTTGATGTTGTTGAATTCGAGTCCTAATTTGAAGTTTGGTTTCGCCTACGTATCTCTTTGAGCATTCACATTCAATTAGATAAGTTCCGGGTTGACTATTTTGTGGCAATTTAGTTTTGTTTTTTGATGTTAAAAGTGTTCTTAAATTAGGATTTGATTTGAAGACTACTTTATAGCCAACTTTCCGAAATATTTTCCTTAATTTTGGGGATAGTGATGGTATCCACGGTAATGATACAGTTGGGAGATTAAGAGGACCTGATTGAATTTTGTTGCTTTTTATGGACCGTTTATTTCCGATTAAGTTTGCAATGCGTGTAAGTTGACATATGTTGTATCCATTCTCTTTAAATACGTGAATTAGGAAATTAGTTTCATCTTCTAAATATAAATCACTGCATATAGAGTAAGCTCTGTGAACGTAACCTTTAAATATTGCGTTTAGAATTTTGGGGTCATGATTTGAGTGAGGTTTAATTTGAACATTTGTAATGGCGTCCTTTCTGTAAACTAGGAATTGTTCTGCTTCTTGAGCGTTAGAAAATCTAGCATGACTATCGTCAACATATCAAAGATAGGATTTTAGGTCAAGAGGAGGATTTACTGCCATTGCAATTTTAAAAGCGTTTTTTTCGTGATGTTGTAAAAAAGATTCTGCTAGTACGACCATGAATGAAAGACCTATAGGACCGGAATTCTCCAATTCATGGATCTCATTGTTCCACAAGAAATAACAACGGTGTAAACAAAGTTCTATAAGTGGCTTCCTTTAATGGAATTGATGGATACAGGTTTATTACATCAAATGAAACCTGAACCTCGTTTTTTTCAATCTGCCATGAATTTGCTTTACTAATAAAATTGCTTTACTAATAAAATCAAACGAATTTTTCAGACGTGTCTTATTTTTGTTTAAAACAGGTTGTATTTTCTTGACTAAATAATTAGATATTCCATAATTAGGAGTGCCGATAGTTGATATAGCGTTTTCCCAAATGCTCATTTGATGGTAGCCCAATAGAGTGTAAAGAAAACACAATGCAATGCGTAATTCTGCTTTTGAGTGGAATTTGAGTGGAAGCGCGTTAAGCCAACTAGAGGCACACTTCTGAGTGCGGGTTTTGACAATAATCTGAGTGCGGGTTTTGACAATAGTTTCAAAACACTTTTATCTTGAGTTTTCGAAAGTTTTTTCTTATTTGTATTAAAATTCATTAAGACTCATAAGGGAAAAAAACTTTGGAAATGTTGTCAATTTTAGATCTATTTTTATTTTTAGACCCAAAGGGAAATTTGTTTAAAATTTCGGTGACGTCATTTTATAAAAGGTGGCCTTAAGACCGCCTAAGCTCTATGCGTCAAAAAATAAGCGACCATTGCTTCGAAATTGGGTCATAACTTTCTTGGCATATGTTTTATTTTAGTTATCGTCATAAATAAAAACTAACCAGCTTTATAATAAAATGGAGGTATGTAAGGATCTGTTATTAAAGTTAACTGCACTTTTTCAAATGTAGGTGTAAGATTGTCTTTCTATGGCTTGGTGTTAGCCATTAAGTCGTCGTTTTTTTTCTATTTTTTTTTGTTGAAAAAAAAAACTTAAAACGAATGGGTTGTTTAGATAGATTTTCTGTTTTTAATATAAAATCAATACAACATAATATTCAAATTTAAGAGTTTATAGTTTAATCACATTTGTTTTTTGTAATTTTTTTATTTGGTTACTAGATTTATTAGGAGTTTGTTTGTATTAGTTTTTTAGTTTTTTAATAATTTCATCATATTTATTTTTAAAACTATATATTGTATGTATTTATTATTTTTTTATACTTTTTATTTTTTTTAATTTTTTTATCTTCATTAGAGCGTATGTCACCTCATCATACTAAAAAATCCACTCAAAATCTTTTAAGTGGACTCTATAATTTGAAACCATTTCTAACTCATTTATGTTTTCTAATATTGTCCTTATTTAAAATTTCTTCTATTCATCATCTAACATTTTATTAATTATCTTTTCATAATTTTGTTTACAAGATTTTTCTGCTTACCCCTTTGATTCAAAGGGGTAAACAGAAAGATCTTGTAAATAAAATTATGAAAAGATAATCAATAAAATGTATGTAATGTAAATGATAATTAATAAAATTCAAAGTTTGAAAAAGTATACTCTTTATAAAACATTTTATTAAATTATTGTTTAATACCAATTATAATAATATTAATTTACTAATAGTTTTCTAATTTAGACCCATTAAGTTCCATACACTCAGGCTATTTCTTTTAAAGTAGTTACTATAATTGTAACACAAATTTATAAAGTTTATATAGAAAAAAAATACTTTGATTTTTCAAATGTGGTTTCTGCACATTTGCATTTAAAATGATATTAAAAATTAAAGAAAAATAAGTTTTTATGTATTTATAAAAAGTTTATTATTGTAAGAAGTGCTATTCTTATCCATTTTTTATTAGATTAATGGTTGTTTTTTATTTATAAAATTATTTTTTAAAATTCTAATTCTATTTTGTCAGTAGTTGTTTAAAACAATTTTTTGTAACTTTTTTTGTAACTGTAACTGACAGTGAAATTCAATATCTAATATAATATGGTTAATTCAAAATTAATATAATATGGTTAAATGATTATATTGTTATTATATATTGTCATTTTAATTTCTTTAATTATATAAGACAAATTATAAAAACTTCAGCAAAATAAAACAAATAATTTTAAAGAATTTAAGTTCAATAAATTAATAATACTTATAAGGTTACAACAGTAACTAAATTTTGCTTGCTTTTTTTTTTTAAATAATTTAAATTTCTTAATCACTTTATTTTATCAAACATTTGTTGATAGCTATTTAAGTTTATATGAAAAAATTTCATAAAAATAATAAGCAACTTTTTTTTAATGAAATGTTTGTTCAAAGGAATTAAATTATTGTTTATAAATACTGAAGATTATAGATAAAATGTTTAAGAAAAAAAAACTTTAGAAGGAAAAAAAAAATTAAACTTTACTTTTGCTATATAACGTTAGTATATACGAAAATATTGTTGGATTAGCATAGAAACAGCCAGAAATATTTATTAAGACTAATCCGAAGTAATGTCCATTTGATTTAACACTTTAACTAACTGAGCTATCTAGCCAGTAGCTTATTCAAAAAAATTAATGATGGCTTTAGTGTTAATATTTTGTAATGATTTATGTGTTATTGTTTATGTGTTATGGTTTTTGTGTTATTGTTTACAAGATATAAAGTATGAAGTTTCTTCATTTTTTTAATTATATATTTTTCTTTGTTTTAGCCTTCAGACGTACCTGACACTTCTGCAACAATACTGTAAGTTTTATAATAATAATTTTGTTCGTAAGATGTGAAAGAGCAAGGTTGCTATTCAACCTTTGCCTTTTTTATTAAAAGGTAATCAATCTTACCCTTTCAATCAATCAGCCCTTTTTTAAAAAAAACCCACTCTAGTATTAATATTAATTATAAATATATTTTGGTATGTTTAAAATTAAATTTTTTGCATGTTTATATAGATATGTTGGAAATTTAGACAAAAGAGTAACAGATGTAATGATGTTAAACATATTACGAGCAGGTTTGCCCCATGTTAAAGACAAAATTTTATCAGCAAAAATGTTTAGTACTGCTGATATTGTAAGTTTAAAAAATATATTTTATCTCTTATAAATTTGTTTTTGACATACTATGTGAATTTTATTTGTCTTTTAAGCAAAAGATATCATACTTTTATATTTATAAATACTTGTTGTACTTTTGTTTAACACTAATGGACTAAATTTTTTTTGTTTTATGTAAATTTTATTTAAGATTATAAATTTTTTATTAAATAATTTAAATGTGTCAATATTTTCTTATATTCAAAGTTTTATGTGAGTTAAAACTTAAAAATAGTTAAAACTTAAAAATAGTTAAAACTTAAAAATAGTTTTTGTTTTTTTGATGCTTAAAGAACACTTGTGTTTATAACAGCATGGAAAATAAAAAAATTAAAGGTGAGACTGGTCTATGTTACCGGCTAATATGGACTTTCAGTTTTTTTTTTTAATTATTGCCAAACCGTTTTTTTATTGCTATTTTAGAAAATGTGGAAAAAAAAATTTGAGCAATACTTCATATTATAAATATAAATTTAAAGTAATTTTTAAATGACTTTTTTATGTTATATAGTTTAAATTGCTTTTAATTCTTTTGACTTCTTTACATATTTACTTTTAAATTTTTTTTTAACATTTTTTTCAAATTTAAAAATATTAAAAAAATCATCCACTCTAAAAAAAAAGTTTACTTCCATTAAGGTTGCTGGGAAAGAGTTTTGCTGCGTCTCAAAACAGTACAAGATAAAACAATAAAATATACTATTTTGATAAAACCGGTACAAAACAAAACAATTTTTTTAAAGTTTTGCTAAAAACTAAAAAATTTTTAGCACTATTTTTTCATAAATGATAAAAGTTCTTATTTTATTACTTTAATAAAAAATATTTAATACATTATTTTAATAATACTAGCTGGTCAGACCCGTAAAGTACCGGTCTTTGTAATTCTGTTCTATACCGTTTTATTATATACAATTACTATATATTTATACATAATAATAAAATATATGTAAAATAATCTTAAAGAAAAGATATTTATTGCAAAGACAATTAGCTATTTCACAAAAGAACAAAAACACAAACTTATCAGTGTAAACAAATTTTGTAATTTGATCAGAAATTAAAATAATTCTTACCTTGATTGCAACAAGCTAGTTTCTTTTTAAGCTATAAGCTAATGATCAATATAGTAAATTTTAAAATGATCAATATAGTAAATTAAAGTTTACTAAGTTAAAATGATATAATAGTTGGTAGAGCACCAAAACAGAACTAAAAAAATAAAAAAACTTTAAAATATTTGTAATACATATTATTTGCACTTAAGCATGAAAAAGAACTCTACCATCATTAGATAATAAAGGTAAAATAATCAAAACAAACAAAAATTTCAATTGTTATTATGAAAATTATAAGCTGTATTCACAAAATTTTAATTGATAATAAAATGTTATTTTGACATGGAGGATCATAATCAGTCACAGCAGCAAATAACCTGAACATTAAAATTTATAATATATTAAATATTAAGATATTAAAATTTATATTAATGAATATTAAAATTTTATTATTTTACATGTTCTGCTGACTAAAATTTTGATGGTGATTAGTGTAGAAACAGAATGTTTATCTTTTCCTAAATTTTTTTTTTTTAAACATAAGTTAATATATATGAAGAAATGTATTTTTTTACAAGTTTTTTTTTTTACAAATTTCTTTTTTACGATTAACAGCAACAAAAAAATCAATCAAAATATAAATATTAAACTACATTTTCTATTCCTAGTTGTAGTTATGTATTTTTCCCTGCTCACTCTAACTCCTCCCACTTAACTTTTGGCAAAGGTAATCTCTTTCCTTTTGATGAAATGGCGGAAATTCTTTTCCCCTATTCTGGGCCCACACCCTCAGTACACTAAAGGATAAGGATCCTTCTTATTATCTAAATAGCGTACAAATTCTTCATAAAATAAACGTAAAAATAACAAAAAAACAAAAAACAATTGAAATAGCTTTATGATATTTTAGTTTCATACTTAACTATAAAATCTACAAATCATTTATTTACCATTTACAGATAAAGGTGTTGCAGTAGCTACTCTTGCTGGAATTGTTTAAACTTTATTGGCTATAACAAAAATACACAAGCAATCGAAAATTAAAAATAGTTCAAAGCAATTTAAATATTAGTATAATATCTCATAAAATAGAGTTAATTTTTTTTTTATAAATCAGTTTTAAAGGGATCCCAAACTGCCAAGACAAGTTGTGTTCATATTTAAAAAAAAATGTTTAAAAAAAACATTTATGCTAAATTTTTTTGATTGAAATTTAAATTAAAATTATTGTTTTAGTCGATGCTCACCTTATCCTTTTTTTTTGGTTTTTGGGGTCTGTATAATGTTAGCCGCAATCTGCAGACTTGATAATTTATTCCATTCGTGTTAATTCATAACAGTTTCAGTATATGACGTCATCACAATATCTTTTTAAGATAGCGTTTTTTTGTTGATGTTTTTTTAAAGATATAAGTATTTTTTCTACTACAATCAGAAAATTAAATATTTGTATAATTTTTTACTAAATCACAAAATATTTGTGTGTATATATATATATATATATATATATATATATATATATATATATATATATATATATATATATATATATATATATATATATATATATATTTACATATATATATTTGCATATATATATATATATATATATATATATATATATTTACATATATATATATATATATATATATATATATATATATATATATATATATATATATATATATACATATATATATATATATATATATATAATTTTTTTTACTTGTTTTATTATTACTTTGTTGTAGAAGCCAGTCAAAATCATAACACAATTATACATGCTTTGTGATTATTAGAGTTCGTATTTAGAGAAAAAAAAGGCAGTATAATGCAGTTTTTTGTTTTATATTTAGTTTATATGGTTCAATAAAGTTGTTTGTTTTATGTTTAATTTACATTTAGTTATCGTTTAACTCTTTCACTACCACAAGCCACTGGTAGTGGCTTTCGAGTATGCATTACAATTTATCTTGTTTTGTACATAAATTTCCATTCTAGACACATAGAATTTGTTTTTTCTGAAGGTTTCATTAATTCTCTACATAAACAAGAAAAAATAAGAGTTATATTGTGTAATTATAAACAAGTTATCACAAAGTTAAAAAATCTTGAATCATCCTTCATAAAAAAACTTTAAATTTAGTTATAAAATAAAACAGCCTTAACACTGTAAAACTTTACTTATAGAAGTGTTAAGTATTTAGTTAAGTATTTACTTAAGTCGACCACTTCCACTTAGTTTCGATAAACCCCATTCCATAAACTACTTTGCAACAAACACTTTACCTTTTTCTCGATTTTTTTTGATAAAAATTTCCATCATTTTTTCGAGGTCCTTTACTTTGACCATTTTATTTTCAATATATAAATAATATTTTTAACTTAATTAAATTAAATTTAAATAGATTATAAAATCCTTTTTCATATAAGTATAAAGGTTTTTTGCGTGCATGAAATAAATTACATAATAAATGCAATTAAAATTTGCTCGAAATTTTATTTATAGGGTGTTATATAACATAATAAAAACTTAATTAAATGTATAAACATAATAAAAAACGTAATTAAATGCTTAACGCTCGAAATTAGGAAAAATGAGGTTGGCTATAATTTGCTGACCTAAATCTTTCAGAGGTCGGCATCAGGTCGGCAAAAAAAATTGATACAAAGGTCTTACCATAAAACATAGAAATGAGGTCGGCAATTTTTTGCTGACCTCAAACACTTTGATGTGGGCTGTTAGGTCGGCATTGGCGAATACCGACCCTAATTCCGAGTGTTGAATGCTACAGATCAAATGTTAAGGATATGTTGCCGCAATGCAATTTTCAAGTGAAAGTAAAAATAAAAAGCATGATGTATGTTTCAGGATGTTTTTAGCATTACATAATTTGAAGAAAGTTATATGTTTGCGTAAGTTAAATATTAGCATACACTTTCGTTGACTTTTCTTATATAAAAAAAGTGCTGCTACTCTTTCTTACTATTACCTTGGTTGCAATGGTTGCCAAGAGTATTGTGTCAAACACTCTCCAATGAGCATCAACATGTTCACTAATATATAATATGGTTATAATAATATATAATATTAGCTGTAATTAACTAAGAACATTTTTCCTTTTAACTGTACTTAGGTCATCTTTTTTTTCTTTATTTAAATCTTTTTATATATTTTCTTTTTATAAGTGGTTTATAGAGAAACTTATAATTACAAATTTTAATAGGAATCATAAAAAAATATTTGTTTAGTAAAAATCTCAGTTTATGTTGCATCAATAATTTTTATAGTAGTGTTTCATAAAACAATTGACTTTTTTTTTAAACAAATTTTTTTTTTAGTTTGTTTACATAATTAATCTTTGAAATATCTTGCCTTCGATTTTTATTTTCCATATTAGTTTAAGTATTCTCAGCTGCTTTTAACTCTATGTGTTCTGTTAACTCCCAATATAAGTAGTTGTTGCTTGCAGCTCTTTTGTGAGTTAGTTAAAAGAAAATTTTCTGTTTTCTTTTTTAAAATAAAATAAAAGTAGTAAGTACTTCCCGAAATTAGTAGTCTAGATAAATATTAAAGAGAAAGTGAATAAAAAATGACTTTATTTAATTTTTATATTTTATGTGCAATTAGAACTTATTTTAAAGTTACCAATCTTATATAATTATTATAAAAAACATAAAAAATAATCTATTAAAATAAATTTATTGAAATATTACATATAATACATATTTTTCATATATGTTGAAAACCCTACTAGATTTGTTAGTTATATTGTAGATATCTATAGTGTAGATAAGAAACTATATGGTGGTTTAATACTGCATTAAATAAGTAAAGATTTATTAGTTTTGAAAACTTTTTCAAATAAAACCATATAAAAAGATCTTATGGAGAATTCCAAGTTGAAACACTTATTTT